TCGTCGTCGTCGTCGTCGTCGTCGTCGTCGGGGGCGTAAGTATCCACGAGCATGACGCGAGACGAGATGTTGGACGTCAGGCGAGACCGACAAACCGCATCAATCATACTCACTCACTCGCTCACTCGCATCGTCATATGTTCTCCCTGGAGCACCGACGATGTCCCAGGGCCGCTCCATCTTCGGAAGAAAATTGCTTACTCTCATACTCTACGAATACGGTTCCCGGTAGCGACGCGGGCGTGCGAAAAGCTGTACGACATCCCCGACCTGCGAAAAAAAGAGAGAAAAAAAAACAACAGACGAGGGAAGCTCGAGGAGGAGGATACAAGAATAAGAGCGTGAAATTACGAGGTCATGAAGATGAAATCGACTTCGTGAGGATTGTTTCATCGTTTCATGTGTGGTTAAGAAATAGACATTTTAACTAAATAATAGATGATCATTGATACTTGTTATTTATGTTTATTACACAGAAAAAAATTTGCAGATTTTAAATAAATATTTACTCCAATAATACTAACGAAATATTTATTAATGTAAACATATATTTATTCGATTTAAATATTATTGTTTTATTTCGAATAAACATTTATTTACTATAAATAAATATTTCGTTAGTACTATATTGGAGTAAATATTTATTTAAAATCTGCAAACTTTTTTTCAGTATAGATATAATTATTTATCAAAACTTGTACGTTCACAGATTGCAGTATTCAAGAAAAACTTTAATGTAGTATAAAATGAGTACCTATAAATTGAAAAAAACATGTTATTCCCTTCTACTTTAAAATTATTGTCAAAATTGTCAACTGCTACCATTGTTATGCATTGAAATCATTTTTAGAATATGTGTACATACGACAATTATTCATATGTTTGAGAGTGATTAGTGATTAAAAAAGCATTTTAACACCGTCTACTGATAGAACCAAACAATGGTTCCGCCTAATATCTTTAAGATTATAGTGTGTAGACCTCAGATAATTTGTCAAAGACGGTGGCGAATTTAGACAGAGGCCCACGAGGTCCGGGCCAAGGGCCGCCATTTTTCTAAGAGCACAAGAGCGTCATCCTTCTAAAGACCAAAATTAAAAGGGTCTGTTCTTTTTCCAACAAGTTCTGAACTAGTATACACTGATGCAGTAAGTTAGAGTGAGACAGGTATAGTTTGTTTCACTCTAACATATTGCATTAGTTCAGAACTAGTACAGAATTCTTCGAAAAAGAACAAACAGAAAGTTAATTTTATATTTGTGCAGGATTGCCAGTTGTGACGCATTTTTGCCAATATGGCACCTTGAAGTAGTGCTTTGACGCACAAAAATAAAATCTTGACGTTTTGGTGAAAAAGTGATACCTTTCGATACCTTTTTTGTTATTGTTCATTTATCTGAAAGGGGCTCCAAATTAAAAGGGTGCTGAAAATTACAGGGTTTAAGGTACAAAAATGTTTAAATCCGCCACTGGTCAAGGAATGTCTTACTTTCATAACGAAAAAAAAGTTATGACGAAATTCTTAACTAGGATTAGCTTTGTTTGTCGTACAAAAATCATCAATATTCCGATAGGAATACGGTGAAATATGACATCGTCTGTTGATCTGCTTTAATCATATGTTCATTTTGTGTATTATCGCAATCGCAACGAACGTGTATACGAACCTACGTGTATACAAGTTGGCACTACCTTAGCAAACTAGTTCAACAACGCCGGATATACGGCGGGCAGCCGGCTGGCGCCACGAATTTAGTACTTGATTGTCCCGTCGAACAATTGTTTCGCCGGTGGTAAATGCGAGAGAAGAGACTGCGGGTGTCCCTCTCTCCTTTTTTCTCTCTCTTTCTATCTCCTCGTTCCTTTCTCTCTTTCTCGCTTTCTCTTCTTCTGTCTGCCTTTATCACGTCGGAGCGGAGACGCCGGGCGGCATACACAGCATGACTCACTCTCAATCAAGGAGAGAAACATATTAGCGATTGTCTTTACCAATTGGGGATATGTGGGTGATGGTTATCGTTGGCGGAGAGCGATACGTGTAAAATACGTATCGTGAAGCGACGCGTACAATTATCGTGCGTGTGCATGAATGTGGGCATGATCGCGCTCTTACACGGCGCCGGGACACAGATGGACCCCTGCGGGTAGACGAACGATCGTTCTACCGTAAGCATGCGCTATCTGGAAACTGGCAACGTAATTGGCAGAAATTGTTCCAATTTAAACCGATTAATCCGGATCCAGAGGAAGAATCCCGGCGCGAGTATCGGCAGATCGGTGATTCGATCAAGAATATTACTTCAGACCTCGAAATATTTTTCAATAATATTATGTAGGTATCTATTGCACCCGATTATGAACGTATTAAATAACAAATAAATATATTATACAGCAGCATGTATTAAAAGTAGTATATACCTATATAAAATTTTCTTATTTGTATATATAGTATATTATGTATTATATATACGGTGACCATATGTCCTTTATTGTAAAGGACAGTCCTTTATTGTAGGTAGCTGTCCTTTAGATTTATTTGTTTCTTCAAAATTTAATTTTGTCCTTTATTTGCCAATATTGTCCTTTACTGTCCTTTATTTTGATATTATGGGAAATTCTTTTCTAACTGGCGTTCCAATGTCTATAATATTATATCAATGAGCAAATTTTTACGG